TTAATCTAAACATATGTCTAAAACAGTGATACATACTTATTTCAACAGAATATACATGTATTATATGAAGTATTAGTGCAAACTAACAGTGACCTCTTAACATTAATTTCTACGGAGGTAATCAGAAAGTATTCCTATGACGAATTTAATTAGGAGGAGAGCTATTTCTCTGCTGCATGATGTACTGTATATATTTACTGTAATTTGGGGTGTGAAGTTCCCAGACCAATTCACTGTGACAACGTTCGCTGTAGGAACCAGTTCCAAATTACATTACCATGCTCTGTTCTATATGAAGTGTCGGCATGAGTATTAGTATCAAACGGTTCGATCCACAACGTGTGAATTTACTTTCTGATTATCCTACGTAACAGAATTTTCACCGTGTTCAGTCTGGTACGCATTTTGTCATTTTAACATCATGATTATAACATTATTTTAATTTGACAACGCCAAAATCCACACTTAAAATACATAGCTGTTATGTTCATGAAAATGTGCAAACAAAATAACAAACTATTACAATTTAAATACATTTATTCAAATTCGAATTAAACCCTCGCACATCCGTTCGAAGACCCTTACTTTACAATAACAAGACACTTCTATCTGAGCCCCGAAGTCAAAAGTTTTTCACACTATTTTCGTACAACTGGCCTAAGCAGTACTTATCTTAATGTTAATCAGCTTGTCGTTATGTTGTTTCCGTGGAAACCAAATACAGTATATCATTTAGTTACTGTAGAACCAGGAGATGGCAGCGTTAAACGGCAGTAATTCAGTCGGTATTACAGAGTTGTATATCATTATTAGAGTGACGACGTTTTCAAGTAAAAATATCTCTAGAATTTTTATTATTATTACTATTATTATCATGCTTATTATATCAAGTTGTTTTCTCCACAAAATATCAAGTACATACCGTGTATATTCATTGAAACAGTGATTTCGAAGTGACCTTAAGGATCATGATTGAGTAAGAATGGACCCAGTAGAAAGGTTATCTGTAGAAACTGAGCCTAAAGGATTCTTGCACTTGAAGCATGAATGCAGAGTTTGCTTGTAAATATATATGTTCAGTAATTTCAATTTAAATTTGGATCCTTTATTTCTTTACGTCCTTACTGAGCAGCCCAAGAGCCAATAAATAATAATAATAATAATAATAATAATAATAATAATAATAATGATTATATAATAAATTCATTCATGCTTTCCAACAGCAGTGGCCTATTAAAAGCAAGCACTTAAAATACGTAATGTATACAAAATAAAATTAATAATAATAACATTGACTTTGGAACTCAGAAGAGGAAACAACATGTAGATAATTTTTTGTTTTAATTCACATAGTGGGGGGTGGAGTCCAGCTGGGTCTACTCGGCACGTCGGCCATTGATTGGCCTATTGTACCTGTCCCGGATGATTATGATTATGGAGGATATGGTGGAATGAAGATTGACAGGGGAAACCGAAGTACTCGGAGAAAACCTGCCCCAGCGCCACTTTGTGCACCACAAATCCCACTTGACCAGACCTGGGCTCGAACCCGGGCTGCCGCTGTGGGAAGCCAGCGACTAACAGCAGATAGCTTAGTTATTGACACTGAAGATTAAATTAGAGTGTATTTTATGAGACAACACAGCAATTGTATTACAATACCTGTTAACAGGAACTTGCAAATATTCGAGTCACTGCACCCTCAGATTGGGTTAAAAGGATTTCTCTTGTCCAACTGAAACATTTTACCTTACACCGTAACGTTTTAAATGTTCAGGTTTTGTAGATTTAATTATATTCTTTTTGGTGTTCACAAGTACACGTACACAACACGAATGTGAGGTCATACTTTGACATAAAGGTAAGCTTGGGAACTGCTATTAGAAATTGTATATTTCAGATTTTAATTCTTCTTTTCCAGTGGTCTAAACCGAAATTAACGGCCGTGGGGATTCGTTGCGCTGACCATGCGACACCCTTTATCCGCTAAAGTTGGCACTAACTTCTCCGGCAAGCGGCGGTTGCTCGGTCGGCATAGTTCGCTTGCTGGCTAAAGCCACGGAGTTTGCTTTTTAGTAGTCTGATGGCGGTTGCGAATTAATACATAAGCCCGCATGATGAGGTACCATGATAATCTTCCTTATACAAATCATAAATTCTCACATTTCAGATAGTGATTTGCGTTTCCTTACATGTTATCTTAAGTTTTAAAGCACAGTGGTGTATATACCACCGTTTAAGATTGAAGAACTCTTCATTTTGAAAACAGATTATGATTTTAGCTTTTGTTTAATTCGCAAAATAAACCACGATTTTTCTATAAAGAATGCTAACAAATTACTATTTGTAATGGAGAAGCAGTGATTTTTATTTAAATGAATTTCATGATTGAAAGTTTTAACCCAAAACACTGCTTTGCTCTCAGATATCTTTGTTTTATCGGATAGCCTAAGTAAAAATTATATGTAAATATACAGTTTCCAAAACATATTTAAGGGTGCGTCATCAAATAGTGACGTAGATCGTTGCGTCATCATCAAATAATGACGTACATCATTATGTTACCAATAGAAAATTAGTAGATTCTGCTCTGAAGTTAACGATGATAATGAAAATCACCGTACTGGAGATTCCATTGAGCACACGGGAGTTTTCCATCAAAGATGTTTTAGACAGAAGATAACCCCAAATTTTACAAATTTTCTTTACACCTAAACAGTTAACAGCTGGCACGTCGTTTGGGGAGGTGACGCAAATTTAAATATTATGTAACAGGCAGATATTTTAAGAAAATTTAAATAACAGCCAAATAACATGCGTTTTACATGTTATATTTTTAATTACACAAATAAAGTATTTTTTATAAAATAACTTTTGTCATAAAGATAAAAATGTTTTCTAAATCATTCTAAAATTTCGTATTATGCTTAATTGATTTTCATTTTTTAAACCGTTTATATCGATATATGATAGTTTCAAATATTTTAACTTTACCAATATTCATGGCAATAAATATTGATATCCTGACATGTTTATAAAACATAAAAACCATGCACTGTGAAACTTGAATAAAAATCCCCTGTTCTATCGAAAGGATGCCTACGTACAAAATAATAGTACATAAAACCAGGGATGGCCAAAATTACTGAATATCAGAGCCTCATATGATATTTTATGAAGTCTTGAAGACCCAGATAGACGTGGATTGGATGGTTCAAATGTTTAGGTACACGCTTTCCACGCAGAGAATTTATTTTTCATGTTTAATTAATTTGTGAAAGGAGGGGTTGACTAGTATTCTTTTCCGCGGGCCGTAATAACGGTTCAAAAACCACACGAGGATCGCCAGCCACAGTTTGCCCACATCTGTTATATACTAATCGTTTAACTTGCAATAATTGTTCTTATTTTCATTCTACGAATTAAAGACCTCAGCAACGTCCCACGCTGCGCGGCCATATTATTCCCTTGATTTATTAACACAAAGCGTTGCTAATGCTAATAAAAAGTGAGCTGGTGTTTCATATGTGGAGATGACAATAAACACTATGCGAAACAGTAACAGCAAAAACAAATATAAATCATTTCCAAGTATCTCACACCAGAAATCTCAGAACATCATATATAATTGTGACAACTTTTACATAGCTCCTTATTACAAATATTTTATTTACATTCCACAGTATGAAATTATCACTGGACAAATCCATACATATATAAACTCCTGTGACGAGATTAAGGCCGTAGCCAGCCTCTTACGAGATTATTTTATCCGGGGCGTAACAAATAAATAAATTTGAGAAGAGAAAATTTGTTTTGACAGTTATCGTGGACGTTGAGGCCACAGGAGTTATCATACTCCTTTTTACAAACTCTGTTCCTATTCAGAAACTTTTGTCTATCAACAGTGTCTTTAGTAAAAACACCATAACACATATGCCTATCTAAACATGTACCAAACACACAAATCCTATTCATATTGTTATGGTTCTACCCTGATTTCCGATGAAGCCTGGCTACGGCCATTTTGTTTACAGTGTAGTGATGCATTAAAGTCTATATATTTCGAGACTGCATCATCACATATAAAAACAAAATAAATAATACAACTAATTTCTCATACTTGACTAGAATACGTTTACTTGCTTCTTCTTCTTCTTGTCTTCTTCCTCCTATTCTTCTGTTTTGAGCTGGTTTGCTTCTCAACATTAGAATATATAGAGAAAATGGCATTTGTTTCCCGTAGTAAAAATTAAATTAAAAAATATGATCATGTTACCAGTAGAAATGTGTATATTATTCCTATAGATAAAATTCTATATAAAATCAATCATTGGTCGCACATTCATCTAAATCCACTTCTAGTAACAATATATAGAACTTTGTGATGCGTTCATTATCTCTGGCATACATAGAGTTAGTATGTATTGGGAGTCAAATTTCCTTTTGAAAATATCTGATTTCATTTAAAGTAGAATGCACGAGTAGCAGTTTATCATGCAATGTATTCGTAGTTTAAATATTATATCTTAGTTCTGCATACTTCCATTTCTGAAACTATGACTCAAGAAAGATATATACATATAATTATATATTTGTTATTTAGACATCACACAATTTCATGGCACCATGTTTTGGTTATGTGATGCCAACAGCCAACAGTATTCTCGGAGACATAAGTTTTGCTCCCATAATAATTGTCTTATTTTGCTGTTAGCACTGAATAATATAGGGACACATCACTGGTATAAAATGTTGGACTCGAATGTTATCGAATGAACACAGCAGCATTGACACATGCAGCGTCATTGAATTAAGAACACACTGAAGCCAAATTACTTTAAACATATTCTATTTCCTTTATAGCGTCAATATGAACACAGCGCATTTATTGACTGGATATTTAATTGAATTTTACATAAAATTATATAAGATTACTTTAATGTAATCTTATTATTATCAAAAAATAAAAAGAAAAACACTGCCTTCGTCGATGATTGTCTGACCTGTGATACGACTTTTATGTTTTAAGATATTTCAAATCCCAGAATCTTGGTATCATATCAGAAACTGCATCAGAAGGACTCAGGCTGGACAGTGGAGTTCAAATTATGTCCACACGGCCTCAAGCTCTGTCGAGTGAAGTGCATTTCGCCCCTTTCCGAATCTGAAATGACAAATTAAGCAAAAGAATTAATTTATGAGGTACAAAATAAAATTAGCTGTAATTAACTAAGGAAATAATTAACTAACTAACTAACCGCCTTTCTTCCATCCTGCGTTTATAACCGAATTAATTCTTCACAGTATATAATTCAACCCTGAAGATAAAGGCAACACGCTTCTCCGAAACGTCAGTGCCCGCCTATATCAAACGACGTTGTCACTAACTCAGGCTATATCACATCTGATAACTGAGTAGTAGTGAGTAATTAACTAGAAAGGATATAGATGGGAGCAGTCGTGGTTTAATTTAAATATTTGACAGGAGAAACTTAGAAAAACTGCCAAAATCCTCCGATTGTAGACATCTCCCTCGAGGCTGACCGATCAACTAACAAACCAACCAACCAGGCAACCAAGAAACAAGTAAACAAAGAAAGGAACTAACCTAACCAACCAATCCAGCTGGCTGGCTGGCTAACTAATTAACTACCTAAGCGATTGATTGAAGGCATAACTCAACAATCCACTCGCTCCTTCCCTTATTTGATCAGACTCCTCTTTGAGGATACAGCAGTCGCTCCAGCTGATTAAGAAGTTCATAGCATTGTATGAAATCTGAAGCATCATGACAGTGCTATTGGTTCCTAGCCCGAGCCAAATGGAGACATTCCACAACCTCCGGGCCTATTTTTAAGAAGTACTTTAATATTGTCCTCCCATCTACGCTCAGCTTTTCCAGACGTTCTATTCCGTTTAGGCTTTCCGGCTTAGCCCATTAAAAACAATATGGAAGGAAGAATATCGGACGCTGTCGTGTTTCGGATATCAGCTGATGTTAAATAGATGCAGATATCGCAACACGGAGTAATGATGCATGGAGGAGTAACGGCAAAGCTCCATATATTTTCAAATTCTGCACTACATTGAGTGCAGTGAGGGCCTTCACGCACCGGTCTGCTTAATCCTGGGGACTGACCCACTGGACAGGAAGTCGGGTGGGCCCATTGCCGGTATGGGCTGTCGACTAACCCATTGGCCAGTACTATAATGACTGAGCTTCCACATTTCGAATTGCTGTTTGTTGTTGAGGCTGTCAAACCATAGGATAATTGACAGAGATGTTTCCCGTAGAGGTAACTTATTGAGGCTGTGTTCAGTCCAATGTAACTCGGGACATCGGATTTCTTGAGTAATTTCATAGTTTTATTCAGTATAGTCGGCACTGTGCTACAAGACGGAAGATCGCGGATTCGAGTCCCGATGATGTGGATTTTTCCAAATGACCTAATCCTTGCAGCCGCACTCTGGCTCTGTGGTTGACTCAGCCCCTAACAGAAATGAATACCAGGAATCTTCCTGGGGGTAAAGGGCGGCCGGCGAATAAGGCTGACAACCTTACCGCCACATGTGAGCTGACTGTCTAGATAATGTGGGAACCTCGACGTCTCACAACTCTATGGGCCTCCAGGGCCTGTCACAGGAATAGCTTGGCGCATAAAGTTGACAATCTCACCACCATCTGTGAGCCAATTTTCTACATAATGTGGGAGCCTTGACGTCTCTCAACCTTATAGGCATCCATGGCCTGTTACAGGGATAGTTCTGCCTTTCAGTATACTCAAATTCCGGGAAGATACCTCGATTAAGACGCGATCGTTTCGGTCCCAATTCTTTCCAATTCATTATTCCCCATCATCCAACCTTACGGCACTGTACAGGACTCGTATAGTTACTGAAAGCGCCGTTAGTTAAACTGCAAACATGGATTACTTGATAGTAACGGATATTGCTGATTAATCCCCGATTTTCTGCATGTTATCTTTGGCCTGTCTTTGAATTGTGGGATCTACGTTTAAATTGGTTACGGTGCCTTAATTTCTAGTTCTTATCTAGGGACAGATTAAGGGAAGACGTGGGGAGCATAAGTATGCTTCCGTATGTCGGAAGTTAGGAATTATGATTGTATATACAATTAATATGCGAAATCTTATATGGATTGGCAATTTCTATGTATAAAACTTCTCGACAGAATATTAAGTCCTGTTAAATTAGACAAGTAATTATTAGTGTGCAAATAATCCTTCATTGTTCGATAAACAACAAGGTAGTTCTTAATTATTTTTTCTCTGTGGCCCTACAACCCTTTGGAGCTTTGCCGTTTTTTTTTCAGTTTCTTAATCCTATACACAGACGGCACGACTCCTTGGACGGGGGATCAGACCATCGCAAGGTCGCTCCTTACACACAGAAGAAAACACATACAACAAATGTACACAGAGATATCCATACCTCGAGTGGGATTCAAATCCACGACCCCAGTGTTCGAGCGGGTGAAGACGGTTCATGGCTTAGACAGCGCGGCGTCTGTGACCGGCTCATCAGTTCTTATACCGAAACGTAAAAACGTAAACATCTTCGCTTAGGAGTATTTGTTAAGAAGCCTGTTCCGACTTCGCTTGCTGTCTGTTCTTTCCCACGGTTTCGGTATTCTATCGTCAGCCATTTTACTAAAATATTTGTGCAAATTCGTCTGTGTTCGTCTGTTTCGTTTTTCACTGATTATATTTTCAATTATTTTCTAATGCACCATTAATATAGTCTAGTCTACTGCAGATTTTAAAAGTTTAACTCATCTCTACTGATTTTACTAACAACTTCAGCCATCAACGCAACAATTTTATTAATTGACTTACATTGCATGCTTGACCCTTGATTGGTCATCTTCATGTGTTTCCAGTTACACATTATTAATTACTGAATTTCAATGTGAGATACCTATATTCCTACTTATACATAAAGTTGGTACATTCATATGAACTTATATACTGTTTATTGGATACTGACTCAAAAATGAGACTAAATATTAAAATTAACAATTTTTCTTAATTAAGATAAAATTGATTTAAAAATACCGTAAGCTACGATCGGCTTCGTATGACAGCCTTAGCCTTCTCAGATTCTTCCATTGTTTGTTGTACCAACTGAGTGTGCTGTCATTACCGTGCTCAACATCCTTTAGAAACAAATTATCTTATTTGCTTCTTTTGTAATGATTGAATTAATCTATAATAATTTTCGTGTTTCAGTAATAATGTACTATAACTTACAATTGGTTTACTGATTTTATTCTGTTTAAGTGTCCTGCTTTAATAATTATTATTCAGAATTCATCACTATATGTAAACGAGTTCACGAGGCGACAACTAAGAGCTGCAACAAGTGGAGCAGCGTTGCCATGGGCAGAGAATCATCGCGAACCAGGATGTATTTATAGACATTCATAAACAGTTAATTATTTTAGTTTATGAGTAAAACGTATTTTACGAAAATAATAGCAGCGAATTTTAATAGAACGCAAATCAGAATTAAAGAAAAGAACTTAAATAATCCTTCTCTTTATATAGGATAAAAATATGATGAAAAGATGAGATGAAAACTTTGAAATTACGACATTTCGGGATACCGTAAAATGAAGTGTCGAGCGTTAACAAGTTGCATGAACGTAACTTATGCAGTAGATAACGAACGAGCGAGCAGTCCTTGTTACACTATACCGTGTCTATTGTGTGAGTGCTGATAACTTTTCATATGCGTATTTGAAGTGCACTGTAATACGTGAAGGAGGGAATTTACGAATGACTATTTGTGCATAATATTTGTGGGAGATGGCGTCAAATATCGGCCTTGAGATAGCATTATGTAACATGTAGGACTGGAGAGGAATGCGAGAGAACGCAGGAAAGGTTAAAAGCATGAAAGCTTATGGAACAAAGAACGAGATTTCTCGTCGAATTCTTAACGGGGTTTTACTATGTAACTATAGTATCATTTTAAAACCCGGTCTCTCACGTAAGGAGTACACGAGAGAAAGAAAATATTTGAGAACAAGGTGCTGAGGAGAATATTTATATCTAAGGAAAAGGAAATGATTTCGTCAAGAGAAACAAATATTAGGAGCTTAATAATTAGTACTATTCGGATAAGGAATTTGAGACAGGAAAATTAAATATGGTGATATGAGTATTACACGTAACATCTATGGACAGATACACAGAATTTTAGTCTGAAAATCTTAAGAGAAAACGCCTCTTGGAATAGCTAGATTTGATGGAGCGTAATACTAACCCTTTGCAAGCTACATACCGGTTTGATGGACTCTGAGACGTAATTGCTTTAAAACTGTTATAGCCGAAGGGATCGGTCGATATTAATGAAGTTAATATAGCATATCTACCAATAGATGGCGTGAAATGCGACATACAGCGTATAGAGGATAATAATCCTCTCACGTGTTATATTCCTGTTGATACTTGAAGGTCATTTGTGGGAAGTGTTGTGTTTTTATCGGTGCAACTGCACTTACCAGCACATTTTAGCAGGCATTTCTATTGCGTGATTTGAGAGCGAAAGAGTTGAAATTTATATCAGAGAAATAGGGCATGCGGGTCGGTCTGAAGTTATCTCGCACAGAACAGAAACTATCAGCGGAAAACACTGTAAAGAACTTTATTTTTTCTTCATAGGCGAGTAGCTAAGACAATATTAGCTTCACAAGAAGGAGTTAATTAGTAAGATATATAAATTAAAGTTGATATATATAAGAAGCTTTAATTTGTATATGACAGTTCTAGAAAACAAGTTTCTTTACAATTGAAAAGAAATTATTAGTCTAATCTCGTCGCAGACCGTAATATGAATAATTATTTCGAGGGACGCGCAAGTAAATTAGTACGCCCCTTCCACTCACAGCTTTATAAAATATATCTCCTCAGCCATACAGAAGTCGGATCTTTTAATTAGAGCGTTGCTTAATTTTTGATGATGGATGGCGGGAATTCTACTCCCGCATTAATTATTAGCAAGTTTCTTCATGTCATGAAAGAGGCGATATCTCCGTGAGTTCCGTTACGATCTTCCTGAAGACACAAACAATCTAAATAATCCTTTGTTCTACAAGGACTGGTGGAGATTTGAATGTTTAAGACAGGAGCCTACTGAGAT